CTCTCCCTCCGCGCTCGCGCTCCTCCCCAACCCGGCCCGGAGGGGGCCCCCGCCCCCTCCGGGCCGGGTTGGGGAGGAGCGCGAGCGCGGAGGGAGAGCGCGTGCGTGGGGGCGCGTGCGTGGTGGAGCGCGCGCGCCCCCGCCCCCTGCCCCTCCACGGCCTGGGGGTGGGGAGGCGTTGCGAGAGCGGGTGGTGGTGAGCCCCCGCGCCGCGCTGACAGAGGGGACCCTGGCGCTGCAGGACGTGTAGGCATTTTCTGGTTTCCTCAGGGGGCTTGGGCTGGTGGGGTCGAAGGCATTTGGTGAGGAAGAGGAGAGGAAGCTCAATAGCTGACAAGGCCCTAAAGAGTTTGGCTCCGCCCCCGGGATGATGTCACTCTCGAGGTGGCTGCTGCTGTCACGTGCGCCCACTTCTGGGGGCCTTTCCTCCTGCTTTGAAAGCCCGAACGTTCCTCTAGACTGCTCCCCACACACACACACTTTGGTCACCAAAGGCACACGTGTCACTCAAAGTCATCGACGCCAACAAGTGTCAGTTATTCCTCTCCTGCTTCTCAGTGGTAATGTGTAGCCTGCTTTCGAGATGCCACCATTGCCTTTAGAACAGGGATGAGAGGAAAAACAACAATGGCTTGGGGGCGGGGTGGGGGAGAGGAAGAAAGAATACTGTCATCTAGAACAATTGCTGACAATTCTCTAACCTTAGCTTGCTAAACTTCAGTAAAGTTGTCATGCTGCCTCTGTCATTACCAGCTTGAATAAGAACTAATGTGGCTTCAAGGCAGCCAGCAAAGCATGGAAAGTCATCACAGTAAGACCCCATTGGAGGATATTCAGTCATGTTTCTCCCCCAAACTCTCCGCCTAGATGTTCTTCAGCTTGCTTCCTTCCCTTAAGACCACAAAAACAGCCCTCCAACTTTGCAGGATTCTTGGAGTAAATTTTTTTTCCACGTGCTGCAAGATGACACAAAGCAATCAACGTTTCATATTTTGCTTGGGTGAATTTCCGTTCCATTAACTGAGATGACTTTTTAGTCATCTGCTTCCTAATGAAATGCGGTGATTGGAAATAGATTCACAAATTGCATCAATCTAGGGCATTGTTTCAGTGCTGTTTGGAAGGTGAAGAGGTTGATTGATTGGTTGGTTAGTTTGATAACAGTCCATCTGAATCTACCCCAGTCCCATAGCACTTTATTGTGTAACTTCTTTGATTTTTTTAAAAAGTGTATTAATTTTAGTGCAATATAAGAAAAACGGATATGAATTCATATCAGAAAGTGAGCCATTCCAGTGAACACTTGAGAACTCTGAGGTAGAACTCTGAGGTATGACTATGGTTGGCGTGGCAAAGTGAAAGGTTGACATATGGACTGTTGGTACTAGTTCCAAAAGTTAGTTCAGTCTAACTTAAACCTACCTGCCAATGGTGATAAGAGTAGGGTACTGATTACTCATATCTGAGTTGAGGGGGGCGTCAGAGGGGACTCTTCTGGATTATTAGAATGATCAACACTAGTTAATGGTCGCAACATGCATACACACCTCAAAAGGCAACTGTGCCAGTGTTTTGGTTTTAACCCACAAAGAAACGTTACATTGCAACAGTTTCACAATGAAACATTACAATGTCATTATCTTTGGAATGAGAAAACAGGTTTGGTCAGGGTTACCTTCTACTTACCCTGGTATACGAGCTTAAGCAAGTCTTTGGAAGTTCTTCATCTGTCTGGAATGGATCATGATACCTCACAGAATGGCTATGAAATGTAAATGAAACTTTTGAGAAATATTTAGCACAGAATATAGTATACAATAAGAATATAGTATCTTGGAACAATATCAACTGTTACATTGTTTTTACACTTTACCCTCCTTCCTTCTTTTTTAGTCTTTTTATTTATTTTAAAGATGATTTTGTATGTACGCCTTTCCCTGTGAGTTTTGCTGAAGCTAATAACATTCCTTCCCTTGAGAAATAATAAGGCAGTCAGGGGTATAATATGTTGCTTTTCAAACTAGTTCAGGTGGTAGCACCTAGAAATTATGTGTTCATTGTGGAGCACTAGGAAATATTGGTAGATTGAATTCTGCATATGGACTTGACACAATTTTACCAGCCCTAAGGTTGGCTATATTATGCTTATGCAGATATCCACATATTAAAAATAATATTTTAAAAGAAATAATATGTCTGTTATTCTTTTTTTAAATCAGTTTGCAACTTTTTTCACAGGGTTTAATAATAATTCACAAATGAAAACCTTTAAACCCATTTTCCGGAAATTGGAAAACCACTGTAATCATCCAGTTTTAGCAGCAGATCTCTTTATTGGATTTTGGCCAATATCTGTAACCCACATGGTCTCTTGCTCCAATAGAGCAACTCTGAACTCGTTTCTTTTGACTGACCTTGTCCAGATCCTGTATTCACATTGGGCAGTGCTGATGTCCACCGGAATGAACTCAGTTTCTGTTTTGATCATCAACATGTTTCACCCAGTGATCTCCCACATAACCCTGCAGTCAAGCTTAGCAGTTTATTATCACAAGCTGACTTTATGAAGAAAACAAGGTGTGACTGCTAATGGTAGGAATGTGGTCCAGCAGAGGCAGAGAACAACACTGAAGCCATCTCTCTCCTCAACCCCTCTTGCTGATTTTCCTTGCTTCCCTATAATCAATACCCAAAATAATGGGAATCCTAATTGTTTTACTTGTTAAAAATCCATTCTCATAAAGAAGGTATTTTAGTCTATAACTTAATTTGGGAAAACAATATATGCCGTGTAAATTTCACTTTCATTTCCTCTGGAAGGATGAGATGTGGACAGTACCTAAGCTGTGCAAATACACACCTGGGGCTGAGCCCAGAGTGTTTCCTTCTGTGTTTTAACTATTGCTAGGCCTAGGCCTTGAAGATTTTAGCCTCCTTACAATCTAATATTCCAAGCTGACTGATTCAGTCCTGCTTCTCTGGGCTTCTGACTGAATTACCCTGCCTCACCTCATACAACCTTTAGCAATGTTGTTCTAATCTTCTGGCTCCTCATTCTCTGGCTCATTCTCTCTTTACCTGTGTCTAGCTTGTTCTCTCTATAACCTGTTTCTGTAAAACTACCATATACACACACATGCATACACACACACACACACTACCACCACCAGCACCACACACCTTTCTCCCTTTTCCTTCTCTCTCTGTCTCTCTCTCTCTTGAGATATAGATATATAGATATGGATATGGGTATGGGTATGGACATAGACGTAGATATAGATCTGCTCTAAGCCTCTCTTCCCTGTGCTATTCTCATAAGAGTTTGGCATATTCTATCTCTGATTGATTCTGTCAAATCTGTCTCTGATTTGTCACTTTCTCTGCCCCTCAATTATACATCACTTTTAAACATAACTGCTTCCTTCTCCAAATTAACCTTGCCTTCATTGTTAAGGATTAAAGATATGTACTAAGAGTGTGTCTGTGTTCCAGTCAGGTTGTATTGTAATCCAAGACATGTCTGCATTCTGGCAGATCATATCTTTGGATGTGATCCCTTATCAAAGCTGTATGTTACTGGATTGAAATTCCTCTACTACAATGCCACATAAGAAACACTTGCAATAAATGCAGAGTGCCCTAACCTTGCCCAGAACTTTCAACCTGTCTAGTGCCACCATCTATATCCTCCCAAATGCCCTTTCTAGATCTGCCTATTCTGTATGAGCACTCATCCCAGCATGGCCTCCCCTGACATCCTGAAGTCATAAACCACCAGGCCCACCTTTTTACTTTAATCTTTCCTCTTGTATAGACAGTAATTGTCACCACTGAGTACCTACTGCTTGCAAGTACTTTACTGTCTTCAAAATACCTCCCTATTTAATCCTAACATCACATGAGAAGCCTCAGTTTTTAGATGGTAAGGCTCTAAGATTAAATGACTAACTTTCCAGATCATGTTAAATGATAGATACAGTTCACAGTCTGTCCTAGTTAGCTTCTCTGTTAGTTGTGATAAAACACTGACTGAAACCAACTAGGGGAAGAAAGAGCTTATTTTATCCTTCCAAAGTCATAATCCACCACTGAGGGAAGTTGGACATGAGCTCAAAGCAGGGACCTGGAGGTGGGAACTGCAGCGCAGACCACGGAGAAGTGCTGATGACCGGCTTACTTTCCTTGGCTTATTCAGGTTTCTTTCTTCTATAGTCCAGAACCACATGTCTGGGGACAGCACTGCCCACAGTGAGCTAGGCCCTCAGTCATTAATCAAGAAAATGCCCCCATAGCCAGTGCCCACAGGCCAGAAAATGCTACCATGGGCCAGTCTGATGGAGATGATTTCTCAGTACAGGTTCCCTTTTCCCAGGTGACTCTGATTTGTGTAAAGTTAACTAAAATTGACCAACTCAGGCCCAAAACATAAACCCTGCCCTCTACCTCTTACCCTCGAAGAGTGATGTGTAAAATGTAAATATGAACACAGAACCCACTGGGGAAAATGTTAGTCAACTTGGA